AACTCCTTGGACCAATTCAAGAGCAAACTGCGCAGCCTGAGCTATTCTGAGATTCTGCGGCTACGCCAGTCTGAGAGAATGAGCCAAGATGACTTCCAGTCACCACCTATTGTGTAAGTGCCTAACAAAAACAGTTGCCTTCCGTGCTCGCCGGTATCTCCATTTTCTGCTTACTCTTACATATTTGATTGCCAGGGAGCTGAGAGAGAAAATCCAGCCTGAGATCTTGGAGCTGATAAAGCAACAGCGCCTTAACAGGCTTTGTGAGGGAAGTAGCTTTCGAAAAATCGGAAATCGCAGAAGACAAGGTAAGGTGACAGCATCTACTGCATTTTTTCATGTGAAGAACTGTAGGCAAATGAGATCTACTGGATTAATCTGTCACCCGGCATGTTTCCAAAAAGGAAGGCTGGTTACATGGGCTGTCTATACCAGCCAGTAGTTTTGGATGGAACAGATGTGCATTTCTAAGAATACAGCCATCCCCTCATGAGGAATTGGGGGAGTAGAGGGATTGGGTGGGGTGACTGTAACGTAGTGTCTGTAAGACCTTATGTGAATGATCTTGCTCAGCTTAACTCTACTTGATGTGTGTTCCAGAAAGATTTTGGTATTGTCGCCTGGCTCTGAATCACAAGGTGCTACACTATGGAGATCTGGAAGATAATGCCCAGGGGGAAGTGACTTTTGAATCTCTACAGGAAAAAAGTAAGTCCTGGTTACTGCTCTGAGCACGCTGTGCAATGTTCTGTGCTCTGCTGTCTAGAGGCTGTTACGAGTACTGTCCTAGAGATGAGAGAAAAAGAGCTGTGACTGAAGTCCTGACTGAGATGAGATCAACTTTTGCTCCTTGACCGAATCCTTTGAGTGTTGGAATTGCTTAGTATTTCTTATAACAGCATACTGTAGGAATGTGTTACTGGTAATGTGTTTTGGAAAATTGCAGTAATGAGCTACAAGAATCATAGGTTGGAAAAGACCTCTAAGATCATCAAGTCCAACCATCAAGAACGGGAACAATGCTCAGCTGCAAAGACAAAGTTCTGTCTTTTCATGGTTAGGATTTCTTGGTTGTGAGTTTTACTTTTTCACTGTTAGTTCCAGTTGCAGACATCAAAGCCATTGTTACAGGGAAGGATTGTCCACACATGAAGGAGAAAAGTGCACTGAAACAGAACAAGGTAAGTGCTCCGGTTTTGCTTGTAATTAATATCCAGTGCCATACAGTTGAAGACTGTGAAAGCAACCACGGGAGCAAATGGTCTTCCACACTGCAGGTGTGTTGTTCACAAAAACCATCTCATATCTGGTTCTTTTCCTGGTACTTTGTGTACCCCATGCATCAGTACAGGCTTGGGGTGGACCTGCTGGAGAGCAGCTCTGTGGATAGGGACCTGGGTGTCCTGGTGGACGACAGGTTAACCATGAGTCAGCAGTGTGCCCTGGCTGCCAAGAAGGCCAATGGCATTCTGGGGTGCATTAGGAGGAGTGTGGCCAGCAGTTCGAGGGAGGTTCTCCTTCCCCTCTACACTGCCCTAGTGAGGACTCACCTGGAGTACTCTGTCCAGTTCTGGGCTCCCCAGTTGAAGAAAGATGAGGAGCTACTGGAAAGACTTCAACGGAGGGGT